GAAATTGTTTTTTAATTCAATAATCCAAAGGATACAGGGCAAAAACACGGGGTAACACATTCACTTAACAAAGATGTGACCGGACGAAGACAAAACAGGGAGTATAGCCTATATACACAGACTAAATGAGGTAATTAACAAATAACAGGTGAACACAATCATTAATCAAACACACTTGGAAACTGGGTCAAATTATAGGGCAAACAGGACTAAAACACAAAGAAACTAAGCCAAAACAGAACATATATGTGACGCCTACTAAGTATATCTTCATCAAAAGATTGAGTACAAGTATAGGCCAAATATACTTAAACCTTTCTGTCAATATGAGTCAAAAATACTTTATTTTATATATATTTTTTTGTTTATTTGTGAGAAGTAGTTAAAAAAACAGAGGATCTGGGGCCTCATTTATAAAACTTTGCGTAGGATTTGCGTCAGAAGTGGCGTACGGATGAAACATAGGACGTGCGTACGCACAGAAATATTCGGATTTATAAAACCGTGCGCACGCACATCCTACGCATTTTTCCCTTAATAAATCACAATCAATTCTAAACATAGCGCAGCTTTTGCGGCTTCATGTCACGGCCATAGTTGCCCATAAATAGTCCGTGAAACGCCCACAAGTTAATATTCATCGATTGCGAAATCATGGCAAACATAGAGAGGAAATAAAAAAAAACGTAACTTCACTCAATGTGAAGTAAAAGTTATCGTTGGCGAGGTGGAAAAGAGGAGACAAAATGTTGTTTGGAGGGCACAGTGTGGGCATTAGCTACTAATGCCAAAAAGGCACTTGTGGCAAAAGGTTGCAGACGCTGTAAATGCTGTAGCCTCACAACCTCGGACTGTGGCCGAAATAAAAAGAAATGACAAGCTACAGATGTCGGTTATAATCTACTTGGAAATGGGAAATAGTTCAGCGCAAATGTATTTTCTTGCAGCTTTCTGAATGGTTGAGACATAGGTCTACGTCATACGTTATTTTATCAAAAATAAAACAAACTAAAGGCATATGCATGAAATACCATGATTCCGTAGCTGATAAAGACATTTTTACTATGAAAACAACTTTCCCCAGTGGACAAATAATACATCTATCTATTTATCTATCTCTCCCTAATTATCTATCTATCTGACTGATTATCTAGCTATATCTAGCTATATCTGCTCCGCCAGACGGACACATTGGCGAGAATATCAGTTTTGTACATTATTTCGTTCTGTTTATCTTATTTTTGAGGATAAATTGTATAACATGCCAATATTATTGCAGAACATATTTCACTTTTCTTTTTACAAATATGTTTTAATTTGCATTTCTGTTGCAGATCGATCAAACGGGTGTTCGTGTAGGCTGTTAATTGTAAGACTTGCTTTGTGACGTCTTCGTGTTATTTATGAGAGGCAGTATTGCCATTTATTTTACACAACAGTTTCAAACAGGTCTACAGTTTCACACACTTTCACGTGTTTCTTCCATCTGCCGACGGTGTCGCCATTTCTCATTTCACCCGTTTTTGTGCGTACGCCTGGGTCAGAGCTTGCGTGAAGAGAGCGGCGTACGCCGCCTTTTGTGCGTACGCAATGTTTATAAATGAGGCCCCTGTTCTTTCTTTATTGCATGTCCAGATATTCCTACAACAAAATATTCTGTGGGCCATGAAACTTCTGTGAAAATGATCAAAAATGCTGGCGGTGGCTGGCAACTTTTTTCCAAAAGGCTGGTGGGGAAAGATTTAAAAATCTGACTATTTTAATGAATATTTGTTAGTTATGCATTTTTATGTTGTTAGCTTAGCAATATGGTAACACCATCTCTACTGAAAAATTGTTGATTCGTCTGTGTGCTTCATATGAGGAGCTTATGCCTATGAAGAGTGTTCAAAATCACTCACTTATGAGGTTTCATTTCAGCGTAGACAGCAAGCAGCCCACTTGGTATTGGAGCGAAGCCAGTGACATAAATGTCTATAAGTAGCACAAAATCATTATAGTGATTCACCATTGCATGCACCCTGATAAATGTGCGGAAGCACACGTGCACTCAGCCTCCCAGTAAATCACACATTAATAGAAAGAGCAGGTCAGTTCACCGGCTCGCTCACGCACAGCCAGTTGCTATCTGTTATCACGATTCTTTCAGCCTCCTACACGCGCACGCACACACACACACACACACACACACACACACACACACACACACACACACACACACACACACACACACACACACACACACACAGTCCTGTAGACGAGAGAACAGAAGAGTCGTCTTTAGTCTGGGATTTGCAGCCCATTATCACGACTATTGGTACACACACACACACACACACACACACACACACACACACACACACACACACACACACACACACACACACACACACACACACACACACACACACACACACACACACACACACACACACACACACACACACACACACACACACTGAGGCAGCTGACACTGTGCTCTAATTCTGATTGAGTAACGTGAGGTAATGAACCAAACATTGTGCACTATTGAACTGTGTCTCATTAAACCTCTCTTTGAAACAACAGGACCCACATCTTCTACATTTACCCATGATGCAGCAGGACCGCTTGACAATGCTGACATCAGTCTGCGCTAAAGCTTAATGTATGGATTTATGAAATAGTCTGTAAGCTGCTCATCTCTGCAAGCTTTCTAAATACCCATAAGCCCGTTATTTACCTGTGTGGATGGTGGGAAGCAAAACGCAAATAACAGAGACATCTGGAGATGAATATAATGTTTGGTGTTGCTCTCTCTCAATGCCCTTGAATAAGTGATGAAGAATCTGGAGCAGGTCTCTCATGTCCTTACAAGACTGTAGCGTGTGTAATTTTACAGACAGGACTGGGTACAGTGCATTCTGAAGCCGTCTGTGGCTACGCTATATATTTTAGCATGGCTGGATCGTCCGACAGCAGAAGTGAGAACAGTACATTCTCACTCTTGAGAATGATTTGTTAAGGGGAAAATGAAGAGTCAAAAAAGCCTCGTCTTTCATTTCCTTTGTGGGGTTTTGGAAGTATGAGCAGAGACCGTATATCAGATATGTCAAGCTAAGAGTGTTAATCTGGAAGCAGTTTTTGCCACGTATGCACTTACAATTCCCATACACACACTATAATAAAATAAAAATAATACAATTAAATTGACCTGGCAATTTAACATTTTCCATAACAATAGAGTATATCCATTAGGAGAACTTTAATAGAGTGGGTATTTTTTTTTAGGTATTTTATTGGAGTTTTTTATAAAACCTTGCTTGTTTGTTTGTTTGTTTTCTGTGTGTGTGTTAGTGAATTCCCTTCTATATCATCCCTTTATGGTATCCGGTAATCCTGTCATTTTCCTTCACTTTACTGCTATTGAAATTAAAAGATCTTTTATGTCTTTAACGGGTTCATAACCCATTCTTGATTTTAGATATTGTGTTTGTGTGATAATAAAAAGAAACATACTACCTTTCATAAGATTTTTAATCCTCACTAAGTCACTCATTGCTCAACAAGGTTGCATTTATTTGATCAAACATACAGTAAAAACTATAATATTGTGAAATGTTACAATTCGAAACAAATGTTTTACATTTAAATGCATTCTAATATGTAATTTGGCAAAAATGTAATGATGGCAAGATGAATTTTCAGCAGCCATTAGTTACTCCAGTCTTCAGTGTCACATGATCCTTCAGAAATCCCTCTAATATGTGTATTAGGTTACACTTTATTTTAAGGTGTCATTGTTACAGTGTAATTATACAGTTAAGCACTGAGTAATATTATTTAACAACATGTACTTACTATATGTTTGAGGTTTGGTTGAGGGTTAGTTGCATGTAATTATGCATAATTTACTGTTTATGCATAATTACATGCAACTAAGGCATATCAATTTAATAAGAAGAAGAACAATAAATCTCTCTCTAAAGCAAACTAGTTACTTAACTATTTTCTATTGCTGTAGAGGGCTGTTAACTTTAATTTTTTCAAAATGCAATTCAACAGCTAGCTGCACACCAGAAGCTGTCTAAAACGCAACATATCCAAAGCGTGTGCACACTCACTAGGCCAGTTCAGCTACTGATTGAAGGGGAAACTGATCCATTGAAGTTTTTTAGATCTGCATGCATTCTGATCTCTCTCTCTCTCACACACACACACACACACACACACACACACACACACACACACACACACACACACACACAACACAAACAGATGGTGTGAATGAAATACATGACTTCGCCACAAGAACCCAAGAATCTGCAGCTGGGAATCTTCTGAAGGTCTAAACTTATTCATACCCATGTCTTTTACCAGCACAAACACAAAACAATAGCGCTCACACACACACACACTCTCACGTTCTTGCTCGGTCTTACACAAATAGGCACACGCAAACACAATGACGCTCCCAGTGATATCGCACTGATATATCAGGTTTGATAACCCCCTGTTCGTGATCTCCCGTTGCTATAGCCACCATTTCTGTGTGAGATCCACAAAAAGCCCATAATACTCTGCAGCCTGTATATATATATATGCCCTACAGAAGTCTGTGTTTCATTTAGTCACACACACTCCACACACACAGCGCGTAACGCAACCCTCCTGCTCTGTGGCTGGGCCGCTCTCCTGCCATTGAACTTTTATTGAGGGGAAAAAGAAAGGCTTTTTATATTTGGAAAATCAACAAGTGAAATGTTTCCACACAAGCAATATTGTTCCATATAAAAAAAACAAAAACTGAATGTAATAATTAGTGTGTCATTGCTGCTCTCTCTCTCTCTCTCTCTCTCTCTCTCTCTCTCTCTCTCTCTCTCTCTCTCTCTCTCTCTCTCTCTCTCTCTCTCTCTCTCTCTCTCTCTCTCTCTCTCTCTCTCTCTCTCTCTCTCTCTCTCTCTCTCTCTCTCTCTCTCTCTCTCTCTCTCTCTCTCTCTCTCTCTCTGTGGTGTTTCCAGCACGAGGGCCCTTGACCTGCAGCTGTGCGTGGTCACGCGTGAGACGCAGAAAGAGCTGGAAAACCAGCGCTCTTGCCGCCTGCACCTCAGGTAAGGAAACGAGGGAACAATGGCGTAAGAGAGACAAAAGAACGAGAGCAGCTGATAGGGTCGTGCGAGTGTGTGAGGAGTGTTTGCAGTAGCCACTTCAGCGACGGCACGACAGGAAGAGATGCAGATGGGAAACTGTGTGCGTGTGTGAGGACACTTGTGGGTGTTTCCAGGCACAAGTGTGAGAAAAAATACAAAGTAAAAAGGGAAGGAGAACTAAAAAGAGAACAAGCGTACATTGATTTGAGCAGAATAGATTACTGTGTAGTTTAATACTGGTATTACGTAACTGGAAAAAAAAGACATGCTTGACCACTGAGTTTCTTATTTTAGTCACATTGCTTACGTAAAGACTTATTAGAGTTCCTTAAAGATATAATGTTCTAGCAAGTCTGCTTGATCAATCACCAAAAGAAGTCAATATTATTCAGGAAAAGATTTTCTTGTCAAAGTAATACAATGTTGTGTTGCAAAAATGAGTTTACCATCCTGAAAGTCACAGAAAATACAACTAAATAAAACATTTCTGGTGCAAATTAAAGGCAATTTTTGATCCGTAGGTGAGTATGTTGAACTGAAAGATTTAAATAAGTGTTATTTATTATTATATTTCTCAGCATCACCTCTGGAGCATCACCATGCAACTCGTGTTTCATGTTTCATCACTCATCACTTTCCATATTCTGTCCCATTCATTCAGTCTTTGATGTTTTTCTGAGACACCAATGGCTTTTTGAAGTTGTGCATTTGCTTAAATATGGCTAATTTCCTGACTAATAAGTTGTGGTTAAGACCGTTTTGCCCAGGAGTGTGTATATTAGTGGTTTGTTCGAGGCTTGTTCCTGCAGATATGTGCTGTTTGAGATGTAAACAGTTAATAATCAGGTGCTGTGAAGTGAAGCTGTCATGAACGACAGAGTCTCGGTTGACTGGCAGGTGATAATGCAGTCGTGAGCTCTCTGACAGGCTTTTCTATCTTCTCCAACCGTCTATGTGGGCGGCACACACAAAGGCCATGATGGCGTCATGCTGCAAAGTGCTTGTCTATGAAAGGTGTGTGTCAGGGGAATGTAAGCGAGTAAAGGAGTGTGTGGTGAAAAGCCTTTTTCTAATTTGAATCCCATTTTGAATTTGATTATTTCAGCTGATGTTTGACACCTGTGCAGATTTTTTAGAAATCTGTCAAAAAGTCGTTGTTATCAGCTTTTAATATGCTGCCAAAACTATTACAATTCAATTCAACTTTATTTCCAGATTGAAGGACTGGAGAGAAAACACACAACAACCTACACAAAATTACATAACATTTAAACGTTAAATATAGACAATTATGCCAATACTTTCTCATAGATGACTGGTATCGCACCACACTTTGCCTAGGGTTTGACAGCAGCATAATAATAGCATTCTGTGAATTATCCAGCCAACAATTACATTTATACATCAAATTTCTCATTAAACCATAAAGGTTTTCTTTAAAAAAGGTGCTCTAAAAAGGTTTATCTTAACCTGATCTGAAGACACATAAAAAATATTCAGCAACATATTAGCTTGGGTATATAACATTCAGCGCTGCCTCGTCATCATCACACATTTCATCATTAATGAGATGCCCCAAATATTTCGTTTTAGTGCATACGTTTAGTACTTACAAATAAAAATCTGGGTCCTATAAGGTCATTATCCCCTTTTGTTCTACATATCATGGCAAGACTCTTTTTTGCATTATATTGCACATCATATTTAATCCCATAATCAGAGCACACATTTAGCAGCTGTTGAAAGCCAGCACTACTTGGAGAAAAAATGATCTCCAGATCGTCAGCATACATAAGATATTACAGAAAAGACAATCCTGAAAATAAACAAAAGGTCAAATTAAAGGTGCAATGTTTAAATAAACACAGCAGCAGAATACAGTTGTCTGTCCTGTATTTGAGCCCTTAATACGGGTACGTTCACACACAGTTCAGTTATTTATGGGAGTGACAACCTAAGTTATAACCAACTCACACCTGTACATTTTCAGGACTTGCAACCGCATTCTCGCTGTGCGAGCGGAACCGGACTGGACAACTAGTTTTCTGTCCCGTCATACAGTGCGAGACATCATTCACATCATATGTCTACAGAGTGTTGCAGGTTTTCATGTGTGGTTTCGTTAACTTGCATCACCCGAAATAAGAGGGTTTTAGATCCAGTCACTGCTCTCGTCTGTTCTGTGTTCTACATGCGACTAATGCTCTTCTCTTCATCACAAATTCTGTCATCATTTTATCACTCTCATGTCGTTCCAAACCCGCAAGACATCCGTTCATCTTCAGAACACAGATTAAGATATTTTTGATGAAATCCGAGAGCTTTCTGTCCCTCCATTTGACAGCAACATCATTGCAACTTTCAAGGCCCAGAAAGGTAGTAAAGACATTGTTTAAATAGTCACTACAGTGGGAGCAGAGCTGCCAACTCTCACGCATTGACCGTGAGACTCACCTTATTGACCCTTTCACACGCTCTCACGCCACACATCCATTTTCTCACACAGAGATATAAATCGTGAAGCAAAGAGGACACTGACACCGACAGACTAGACTGAGAAGGGTACTTTTGATATGGAACAAATTCTCAGCTCTCAGATTCTGTCAATTTTATTACGAAATTCTTACAATAAATACCGTTTTGCCGCTTTTAAATGTGACCGATCGCTGTAGCGCCTCAGTTCAAATGCCACGTGAACCGATCATCTCTTCACTAGCCTAGTTAATAGTAAATAAACACGAATGATCAACAGGTGTGTAACGTGTGTTGAAAGATACAGTAGCTTACAACTTACCGAAATGTATATGCCTCATACATACTGTAATATCGACCAATCAGTGTTTTTCAACCGCGGAAAGAGGTCAATAAAATAGCTGGAGTAGGCTGTAACATTACATTTACCTCAGGAAAGCCATTTAATGACCATAGCACGTAAGTCGGCTAGAATTTTGTTTTGTTTTATAACATATTTAGTATAAGTATAAATGAGTATTTTGCTAAATATGTGCACTATATTACATATTTATTAAATTTTTTACTTTTAAAATATTTTGTTGTAATAAAAACCGCATTAGGCCTATATTTAATTTGAGTTGTTATTTTTAACCTTTAATTATACCAGCTGTAGTCTATATAGTCTATGTTTACAGCATCAGGAGCGATTTTCTTTCTTCAGAAAAATTAACATCTACTGTAGCTTATATGTATAATATGTATCTAGATCGGAAAATTGAATTAAGATCGGAATAAATCCACAAGAGTTAAATTGAAATTGTAAAATTTGTATCAAGCAATAATAAGAGCAGTAGCCTATACCAATTATTGCACCATGCTGTCACTAAACTTAATATAAATATGTGTAGTTAGGCTACCAAATGTATTGACAACCACAATAGCCTACACTTATTTTTTTATATTCCCAAAACCTGACAGTGTGAGCGTAGCCTTTGTCATGACCTATTATATTGGAATGTGTGCCGTTGTGTATATAGTGGGTGTTAATATTACATTTGATTTCTGTGGTCTTATATTGCACCCCATCAAAATGTATCCCTGGATAAACAAAATGTTCTATTCTGTGTTCCTGTGCTTTAAGGGATTGTAATGTTTCAAGATTGTTAAAGTGTTTCTCTCGCTGATTTTTTGGTCCTGTCCCGGTTGTGCAGGACTCTATGGAGTGCAGTCTTAAAGTCCCCCTGTAGTCAATCATTTTATCCCTTAAAACTGATCACCAAAATAACATATTTAAACATTTTTCCTTGAAAAAACAAACAAACGTCATGCTTTAAAATAGCCCAGATGTAACTCGACACCCTTGCCTCATTTAGTATATGCAGTTCTATGAATATGCAAATGAGCCCCGCCTCCACTCACTCACTCACTCAGCTCAGAGATCCACTGGTTGACGATCACACGTTGATCTGATTGGTTACGAGGTAGTTTGTGACGTCAGAAACACCAGCGATTTCAAACCTCGTTTTTGGTTCACTGCAGTTTTAAGGAGAACATTCTTAGCATTGGTGTTGACATGAATTTATGCGTAGTTTGTCTTGAAGCATACTAAAAACAACACATAGGCATATAAACAACATTAAAAGCTTGATTTTCACCACAGGGCGACTTTAACACTGATGTGTTGCATGCCAGTCAAACGGAAGAGCTTTTAAATCATTCAGTTTTGACCCCATGTGCCAATGACATTTTATCAGCCAGTAATTGCTAAACACATGATATGTACAGTCTGTCTTCTAAAAGACTAGTTTAACTTTGCTTCTAAGTTTGAGATTTTCCTCAAATAATTAGTCTTTTTTTAGAGCTTTGTTTAAAAACGTCTAACTCTATAAAGAGCTCTCGGATGCCTCATAATCTCCTGTTATTCATTTTTGGTTTATTTTATTGTTTCTAAGACCGTCCCGAGATGGCAGTTCACCAAGAGCATCCGGAGTACATATTTTTCGGTAAACTATAATTGACGGCTCCATTTTATCTTTTTGCATCGCAGTTGCCAGGCTTTTAAGCTCCAGTACATGTTTTCACTGTTTACTGTCCATACTTCACACTTCCCTGCTACCTAAACCTCGTAAAATCTTCCTTTTGAGATGTTATCTAACATATTTCCACATTGATGTCAAAGCAGCGTGACCCTTGCGTTGAAGCCTTGACACTAGTCATGTGAAAAAACCTAACGTACTGTAATAACAATTTGTACTACAGACATAAATGATACTTTAAATCATGTGACTCATTGAGAAGAGCTAATGAGTTTGCAATTATTTTAATCAGACAAAAATGGAAATTATGTTATCGTTGGTTTACTCAGTAACTTTTTTTTGTCCATACAGTGAAAGTAAATGGGGTCCAATGATGTTTCTGACCCTATTGATCTTTATTGTACCGTATGTTCAAAAACAGAACAGTAAAAAAAAAAAATTCAAAGTATATTGTTTTGTGTCCCATTGAAG